TCTCTCTCTCTCTCTCTATTTCTCTATTTTTTAAGATCCAAAAATGGCTAACGCCATTCGAAAGAGTATCATTTATAGTTGTTTGTACATCCTTCTTTTGTATCTTCAAAGAAACCGAAGATACAGGATGTTCAAAATACGTTCAAGAGATATTTTCGCCTTTTTTAGACATCGCAAAGCATTCGAGAAAGCATCGTTTGTACCTCCTTTCATACCATTTATATCTTGAAGGAAGCAGAAATACAGGATGTACAGAAAATATAAGAATGAACCATAAGATCTTCCTTTTTGCTGTGATACATACCAACACACGCGCGCGCACACACACATCCACATCTTAAGAAATGACAATGATAGGCTTTTAAACTTTTGGTGAAAAATACTATACGTTCGTTACACTTGAGATACAACAATTTTAAAGGAAGTACAAACAAATACAAACAATGATTTTTCGAGTAGAGTCAGTCGTTTTGCAATATGTCAAAAAATGGCGAAAGTACATCTTGAACGTATTTTGAAAATATTGTACTTCCGATCTCTTTAATGTTTCTAACCTGTGACTTTTTTCTGTTTGCTAAACTCAAATTGCCACTCTGAGGAAAGCGTTTTAAATCGATTGATGCCATAAAAGAAAATTCGCAACGAGAGCGGAAGGCAATACCAATTTCAGCGTACGAAAAGTGCCTTGAAGACTGGATTAAGCGTTGGCACCAGTATATTGCAAATGGAGAGTACTTTGAAGGAGATAAAATAAATATTACTGAATAAACAATTACTTTGCGTTTCATTGAACAATTCCGGATACTTTTTGAACGTAATGTATGACGTGACGTTTGTCGAGTGCTTGTACATTAGATTAAAGTGAGTAAAAGAGTTCTGCATCATTTTGCAAATAACTACGTAGGCTTCTAATTATTAATGAAAGAAAATTGTTGCACGATTTTGCGCGATAATACACCAATCTTCTTTAATTAATAACTACGTGGTGTAATTAAAATCTACGTGGTCATTTGCAAAATGGCAGAGGACTTTTTTGTTCAATTTGAACTAATATACAAGTACACGACGTCATTGCAGCTCATCTACCATATCAAGCATGTGATTATTCACACACAAATCTTCTTCAATTAATATCTCGATTATTGTTGCGATTTTCGCAAAACGTTATGGAACTTTTATGTTCACCGCAATCCATTCTACGTTCCCACAAAAGTTGCGGAAGATAGTCTGAAATATCCTGTATATACATACCCAGTAAGCAATCTGTGCGCAGACTAACATCAGATTGATGACAGATTCGAGTAGAATCTAGATAGATCCATATCTGCGTTCTCAATCTGTTGTCGACAGAGCCTGTTGCATGAGTTTCCGGTAAGTTACTGGTTAGTTCTAATCTCCTACTCATCAGTATAACACGTAATATAATGATGTTATATATTAGTCATGTATTTTAACACTATTTCTGTTATATTACAAATACCTTTATAACAATGTTGTATTTTAATGTTTCTGCATATATTGTTGTGATATTACGCAAAAACCTATGTGTGACATTTTTATAACCTTCATATAACTGATGTTATATTACTTGTTATTTTTGTGTAATATTATTGCAATAATCAATATTTACT